GTTCACCATAATGAGCAAACCCTTTAAAATTGTTGTTATTAAAAATGTCTGTTTGGAGAAAGTTGAGGAAACTTTTCAAGTCTGGACTGGTGCACCTCCTCCACCTGGAGACCTTACTCTCTTCCCATTGGCTCACTGACTAGAAGTGAAGGTTTGAACCATCTTGGTGCATTTTGCTAAAGATTTCCATGATGTCATTTAGTGCTCTTCTCTTACTTCTCTACTTTTTGGCACAGATTTTGAACTAAAAACCTTCCGATTGTGTAAGTGCATCTTTCATACACGTTATCCAGCATAATGTAATCATTTAAAGAAGGCCTGTGTTTTGTCTAACAAACCTCCATGAGCAGCACACCTGTCTGCTGCATTATATAGATCCATAATCTGACAAGAAATGCATAACAGAAAACACTTTATACCTTAAGACACTCCTTCACGATCTCGTTTACTCGTGTCTACCGAGCTGAAAACATATCTCTACCTGTACTGGAAAAATGGTGCATTAAATGCTACATTGCTTTTTGATTGAGAGATTTAGAAAATCATTTTGATACTATTTTTTCACATTACTGTGTAACAAAAAGTAATGTTCCCATTGAATTTGTCGTTTCTTTTTTTATTATAATTTTCATATTAAAAGACAGTATAACCTAACAACACAGAACAATAGCCTACATAGAAAGACTGCAGCTCTCTTGTAAATATACAGTATATAAAGAAAAACGAGAGCATCGTGAACGTGATATATTTATGTTTCATTATGCAAGATTGTTACATGCTAATTCTCTCCATAGCCTCCTCATGTATACTCTTAAGAACGTTTTTTTAAAAGGCATATGTTTATATGTTTTTATCAAGCATCAGTGTTGATACGGAAACACACGAAACACTTAAATGTTACACTGAGAAAACCGACACGGCCATGTAAATGGGTATATAATATAATATTGCTTTTGTATACCACTTTTGGTGTGCAGTATGCATCCTTTTTTAATCAATTAACCTTTGTAAGTGAATGCTGCTGTAAAGATATTACATGTAAGCCATGCCTAGTGAGATCAAACCAAGGTGTTTTATTTTGAAAATCACTATGAATAAGAGTTTTAGAGAAAGCTGAGCAGGATCAGTACTCTGCGCTGGTGCTAAAAGTTATCAACGTATTTAACTGTTTGCTTTTGTGTTTGTGAGATGTAAAGGAAATCTTACGTGTATGCCGTACTGTATGTGAGTATTAAATGAAGAAATCCAGTAATCAGAGATGTTTGTGTGCGACACAGACCTTTTCATTTCTTCTGAGCTGTAACAGGCTGGTTGCCTTCGGCTTGTGGAACCGCAGTCAGCGCTCGTTTTTAGCATCCTGAACGGACCCAGATTTGGATTTGGGTCCACACATCTGAGAATTATTTTGGCTGGGAGCCTCATTTGTTCTTCAATACACATGATTTAACAAAGACGACCTACATTTGCGGCTCTCAAATTGGTGTCCGGGGACCATCCGAGGTTCCTTTCGGGGCTCTCGAGGGGTCCCCATAAACCAGAAACAAGTTCATTTCTTATCTGCAGATTAGCATCACAGGTTTCACTGTGCAACCAGTATATTACGTAATTCTGGTAAAAATTCACACCTCACAGCCGAGCTATTCTGTTACAGGCCTGCAGTTCAATACAGATCTATTTTGAGGCCCTCAAGGCTGATATGATCACCAGGACGGAGTCAAATGAATGGAACTGTGAGGTTAAAAGATGCTTTGACTTTCAGGGCCGTAAGTGAGCTGCCGGGTCTTTGCTGTTATTCAGTCTTATTGTCTATTCACGGAAGACATTCTAACATCACAGCATGAGAAGCACATGTGTGAATAATGCGATTAATGATAGCTGCTGCAGTCTGAAGGCTCGGGTATTGTGCAAAACGCTGGTTCACTGTCACCCTGCCACAAATTACTGGGACACTAAGTTAAAATGTCTGAAGCAAAAAAACCCACCATGAACCTCCAGTTACTCTCCCTCTCGGTGCATTGTGTTCCCGGAAACGCTACCGTTTGGAAGGTGCTAATTTGATGAAACACTAATTAGTTTAGGAGCGTTCACCATGTTTAGGTGCTTAAATAATCAGCAAAAGTACATTTTGTCACCGGCTGCTGAGATCAGGTAAGTAGGACCCAGATATTAAGGTCTTTGTCAGGTCAGGTGACTTTTTTTTTTTTTTTTTAGAGCATATTCCCACATGACCCTAAAATTAATCAAAGTGCCACACATCATTTGCCAGTTTTAACTACCCCGCGGAGGTTAAAGGTTAAATTCACACTCATTTGCTCACATGTGCATGAAAAGCCACCGAGCGATGGGGCCATTTTTCACAGAGCGACGGCTGTGAGATTCATTTTAGAAAGACTTGGAGTATAATACAGAGGTGAGTACACCCCTATGCAATATCCTTTCAGTGTATATTAAATGAATCAAAAGTGTGTCAACTTACAGGAACTGCATTATTTTTAAGTTGAACTGTGGGGATTTGCTCCTATTTAAATGAAAAACTAGCAAATACAGGAGCTACAAAGGGAACCTAGTGCAACAAAACTCAATACTGAGGTTCAAATCTCGTTTTTTTTTTTTAACACCTCGTATGTCAGCCTTTCATTCTGACTGAAATGTCTTGAGATGTCCTTCAGACTATTCATCTGCCTTGCTCTTTAAAACAACCCAAAGGTGTTCTATTAAATTCAAGTAGGCCAACACAATACTTGGCCAGGTCATAGTGTTTTCTTCTTTAGGAACTCTTTTGTGATTCTATCAGTGTGTTTCATGGTTGAATATTCTTCTTCTGCCAAGTTTCTGCAGACTGGGAATCGTTCTGTCAGCCAGTGTTTTGGTTTATCCAGACATTCACGGTGCCATCTATAAATGTCACCTTTTGCACTCATGCAGACCCATGTCAACACACTTCTACCTCTGTGCTTCACTGTCAGGACTATGCATTCACTGTGGTAGACCAGATTCATGCCAAACATCCATCCATCCATCCATTATCTATACACCACTTAATCCTCACTAGGGCTGGAGCCTATCTCAGCTAACTTAGGGTGAAGGTCACCAGTCTATCACAGGGCTACACTTAGAGACAGACAACCAAGCACACTCACATTCACACCTACAGGCAATTTAGAATCATGAACCGGCGACACTTCTTGCTGCGAGGCAACGATGCTAACCACTGAACCACCTTGCAGCCCCATGCCAAACATGCTGAACCCTATCTGAGCCAAACAAGTTTACTTTGGTCTCATCTCATCTCGCATCTTTCCATGTTCTTTAGCAAAGTTTTATCTTGCAGTTTTGTGCCAAATCGTAAGCAAGGTTGTTTTTTTTTTTTTCATTTTCTGGGACGCCATCCATAGAGGTTGATGTTATGAACTGTTCTTCACACTATCTGGGCTGCTACAAAAACTCAGTTTTCCACTACTAAGCTCTGTGCCAAGTCTGCAGCAGCTGCCCGTCTGTTTTTTAGAGCTAAATTGTACAAGTGGTGCACAGTCCATGATGTTACTGTGGGAGGATGAACCTTGCAGCTCTGATTAGTGGCACTAGGACTCGTTCTACACCTTCTAATAGCTGCTGCAACTGTTTCGACTGATTTTAGTCACAAATCTTCCTTAATGCTTTTCCATCCTTACGAAGTCTCACAATCAGATTCTTTGCTCCTTGTGCAGTTTCTTTTCCACATGAAGCCATGATGCAGATAAACACAGCACATATTCCAAAACTCAGAAAGCTAACTGGACATCGCAGGTGCATTTAATTAAGTCTTTACGGTCACAGATTTTCTAACTTTTGTGTCGGGTGATCACAGATTCATCTACTTTTGCAGCAGTGAGTTTGTACTCTGTGGCCTGTAATTTCCATATAGATTAAACAATTTGTTTTTGATTGTTCATAAGAGGAAATACTCGACTTATCAGCTCGCTGATAATGTAATTATTGAGAGATGATACAATGAATGACATTTAGGTGATTTTGCACAGGGGTATACTAGGTTCTGTTGTATACAAGAGGAACAACCTCAGCCGCCACCATTTTCCACGTATGCTTACTCGCATTAAATGAACATTATTTGAAGACATAACTCAACAATAAGGGAGCCTGTCCAAGAAAAAAATGACTTTTTATTTGACTGATTCCTATTTTTATGCTCCATTTGACTACTTTCAGGAAGAATTAAGCATTTTTCCCACCAGGATTTCTATTTCCTGCAGAAGACGGCTTTGAAACCAAATTGAAAAGGATCCATGACCTTGGGGACACATTTGATGAGAGCCAAGGGATTAGAGCAGAAAGCTCTGGGAATATAAGGTTATGCTTGGGTTAGACCTGAAGATTTCACACTACAAAAAACACATTTTAATTAATCTATTAATTTTAAAGACTTTATCTGAGTGAAATTCTGGGGAGGTGGGTTTTGAGGAGGGTTATGGGGTTTTTAAAATCCTGATTAGGCAGTTATGAGGGTTTTGTTTTGTTTTGTTAGGGACCCTGATTGATTGATTTTTTTTCTTACCAGGTTGAGGGGCCACTGGACTAAAAATATTTTATCTTTAAATCTAATTCCTGCTTAGTTGCAGTAATGTTTTTGTCACAAATGGACAACAGATGCACCTCTCCAATCTTGTCTCCACTGTTTACTGCATCCAACATGCTTATTTCCTGATGATGAAATCTCAGGCATGATCCTCCTCATCACGATGAAGGATCCGGTTATAACGTGACAGGATCCAGCTGAACCCAAAGCGAGCAGCAGAGCTACAGTGAACTTATGATCAGGCTGTGATGCACACGGGTGACGCCGCGCTCCTGTAGTCGCATAACCAAAGACTGGCGTGGGATCGGTCCCTGCTGCGCCTCATCTGGAATAACGTCGGGAAAATCCAGAAATTTCATTAGCGGGGTGTTTTTTTTTTTTAAACAGGAGGCGAGCAGCGTTGAGAATAATCCCTTTTGGGCAAAACGTTTCCATCGGAAGAGGGGTTTTCTGTACTTTGCAGAAGCCAGAGCAGATTTATTCCGATAGAGAATCACCAGAAATAATAAGGTAAGAAGTGATCGCCTTGCACATGTACGTAGATGTGTGTGTTTTTTTGGGGGGGAGATTCTACATGCAAGCAAGCGGTGGAAGGTTTATGTTAACGTGTCGCGCATTATGTTTGATATTTTCCTTCGGTGTGAATGAATGAAGGATTGAGGAGAGGGGCTGGCTCACTGGCACCTGCGCATCCCTTAAAATAAAGCCTCGGCGTTTTGCCTGGAAACAAGCAGAAAAACAGAAATAAGACAGCGAGGGGGTGATTTGACGAATTGACAAAATGTCACCGAGATTTTTGCGCAATTAATTGGCTTTTACGCGCAGCTAATGTGACTCTGCGGCGGCACCGGAGGGAGCTGCCTGGCGTTTAAAAAATACAAATAAAAGGTCTGCTTTGCTACTGACATTTTTTTTTTCGTGGCATTTTTGTGCCATTAGGAGCAGGATTGTGGGATCTAATCTGAAAATACTCTCACTGCGTCGTTTCCATCGGAATGCAGCAGCGTCTCCCCTCTCTGCTCTCACAGGAGGCGGTTAGCTTTAATAGCATTAACTCGGGATGTCACTGCCCAGAGCGTGAAATAAAACAGCATCTGATGGCTTGTGTTTTGGCAGAACAAGTACCTGTGGCCTGTGCCATATGTGGCGGTTATTTTTTTTCCCAAGAAAAAAAAAAAAAACGCCGCAGTTGCGCGATGTCGAGCCGTTTCTTGCTCCGGCTCGGCGCTCCGTGAAACAGTTTTGTCATCTTCCTGCAAAATGTTAGTCCTCAAGGTCATTCACAGCAGCCTGTTTTAGAGATAATACCCGAGATCTGCTCCTGTAATTACCAATCGTGCTGGCCTGGGTGCGTTTGGTGACACGCAGGGGAGTGAACATTAAATTGCACTGATTTTTTTTTTTTTTTTTTGGTGGGCTGCAGCGCACATTTGTGCTGTTTGTTGTTGGAAGGCCTGAGCCAATGCAGTGCTGTCAGTGGAGGAGCTGTCCAGCCTGCTGCTGTCATGCTGCTGCTGCTGCTGCTGCAGAGATGTGGACCATATGCTGGTCTCAAGTTGTGGACAATCCCTGCATTGGCCTGTATTCAGTTATGCAAATAATATTCTGCTGCCTCATTTGTTGAATTATGTATATTGGAAATTGACGCATTCTTGGCCACCTTATGTCATTTGCCACATCATGAGTCAATAATTAATGAATGTAAGGGCTGCTTTGGTGGAGTTGCTCAAGTTGTCAGGATTGCAGCTGTTCAGTGTGGATAACAAATTAATCCATTGCTGATTGAGTGTATGGATTTCCCACAGCTGGTTTAAACACTATATTACATACAAACCAGTCAGTTATATTATTCCCCACTGATCCAGATTACAGCAAGGCCCCGCTGTGTGCTCCTGCATGTTGCCCACACTGTGTGGATTTGCTGCAGCAAGCGTCTCTTTTACAACCGAGCACAGGCTTTGTTGTCATTGTCGGGGGCTACAGGACAGCGTTTTGCAGTGGAAACTTGATAGCAGCGATCGAAACATTTGATGAACTGGATCTGCTGACAGTGATGATCCAGGTCAGCGCTGCCCGGGCCACAGACTGGCACAAACAGGCTGAGGGTGAGGGGGGCGGGGGGGGACTGAAATAGAACATGAGCACCAGGGAAATATTTGCTGCCATCCAAGAAAAAAAAGGGGGAAAAAACACATTTACTCTCTGTACTCAGGTTTGAAGTGGAAATTAAAAAAGGAGATTTTCATACAGCCACCGCTCAAGCATGGAGAAATGCATTATTCACGTGTTCTTGCACCACAGGAACCATGGGAAAGCAGAACAGCAAGCTGACTCCCGAGGTGATGGAGGATCTGGTGAAGAACACAGAGTTTAATGAACACGAGCTGAAGCAGTGGTACAAAGGCTTCCTGAAAGACTGCCCAAGCGGCCGGCTGAACCTGGAGGAGTTCCAGCAGCTGTATGTCAAGGTTTGTGCCGACCAGATGCTTCTCCTCATTGTTCATTTACCCCTTATGTCTGTCTGAAAAATGGAATCGTGCCATGGTTGTTTTCGCTCATGAAACTTGGGCCTCTTCCCCCGCCTCCCAACAGTTCTTCCCATATGGCGACGCGTCAAAGTTTGCACAACACGCCTTCAGAACCTTTGACAAAAACGGAGACGGCACCATCGATTTCCGAGAGTTCATCTGCGCCCTGTCCATCACATCCCGCGGCAGCTTCGAGCAGAAACTCAACTGGGCCTTCAATATGTATGACCTGGATGGCGACGGCAAAATCACCAGAGTGGAGATGCTGGAGATAATCGAGGTGAGGGATTATCGAGTCATTAGGCTTTCACTTCATCAGGGCTTTTTTTTTTTTTTGGTGGTGATGGTGTTTTTGTTTTTGTTATCAGTCTCCTGCACACCTGCAGTGCTCGAGTACAGACGGTTTCATAGTGACAGAACTGCAGTTGTATTGAATTGCATCATGCTATTTGTGGATATGTAGTCGTTATAGTAAATCTGATATGTGTCGGTGATATCCGAGCGTACTGATGATTCCTGTATTGATAAATGTGGTGTTTTATTCCAAAGATGCATCACAGTTTTGCGACCTTTTCTGTCTTTTGTGCCACCAGAGGCCTAACCATGTTCCTAAAACTCGACACTGAGGTTACTGTTAGTTCATGTAGTTGAATTCTCAGTGTTTTGGCTGCTTTGGTCAAGTTTGCATTCACACTACTATCAATCCACATGGCAAAAGCTTTCAACCATTTATCTGTAACTTTTCTCTATTTCAGCTGTTCATTCAAGTAAATAGCTGAACAATTTGTATTTCTTTATTCTAGTACCTCATTTGTAAAAGACAAGTGCAAACAAACTTGGACAGTTGTAAAAGCAGGGTCCAATGTACTGTAAATGTGCATAACACCAGTCCATAGATAGACTTTAACAGGTTAAGCAATCATTAAAATTGCACGTTAACCATGTAACTGCATCATTACTTCTAGCTGAATAATTTTAAAGATTAATATCAGCTACTAAATTCAACTGTTCATCCATTCCTTTTAGCTACCCGACATTATTTCAACTGTTTGTCTGCTGCATCTGTTTCAATTGTCTAGTGATTAACTGGAGATATTCCAGCTGCTTATTTGTTATTTTTGGTTCACTGTTTTAGGTTTTCTGCCTGCTTGTGAACTGATTTCCATGTATTTTTAATTACAACATGCAATGTTAATGTGTCACAACCAGGGGCAGAGCCAAGGTGTGGTTTAACGTCTAAAGTTACCTCAAAACCATTACTGAAGTCTTATCGTAACCCTAATGTTACTTAAACTGTAGAATGAACAGCTTAAAAAGCACACATTTGAACAATCATTATAGATTAGAAAAAATAATAATTAACTAAGGGTTATGTTCTACATTGTTGTCATGCCACATTGGCAAATGAAAGTGAAAAATGGACTGTTTTCCTACAGCGGTTTGCTAAGCAGAAAGGAGATATTTTGAGGGAAATCCGAAGCTGCATCCTTCATGTAGCTCTGCCTGAATGATTGTGATTGGTTTAAAGAAGTACAAACGAGCAGTTTTCCCCCATAGCAGCATGATAGTGAGGTACAGCCAGATAACTGTGTACTGCAGAATGGTGGCGTAATCTGGCTCAGCCCCATAAACAGACCATTCTATAGACCACTCTGTAGACCATTCTACAGACCATTTTACAGAGCATTCTACAGGCCATAAGCAGACCTTTATACAGACCATAAACACACCATTCTGCAGGTCATAAACAGACCATTCTACAGAATGACCATTCTTCTAACATACCATTCTACGGACCATCCTACAGAATGGTCTGACCAGTCTTCAGTACAGAATGGTCTGTTTATGCGAGGCTCAGCGAGATCACACTGTGCAGCAAAAAAACAGCTCACCAGTGTGATAAACGGTCTCAACCTGGCCTCCCCTACAGAGTTTCATTACTGGTTACAACTGAGTCATGTTAATAAGCAGCTTATGTTATTGTACATTTATGATGAGATAAATATGTGGACTATATTAAATATGGATGTCGATCCAAAGATTGGGATTTGGGTCAATCAGGGTGAGTTGTAATTGATTGGTATCATTAGGAAGCTAAGTCCGATTATTTGTTTACGTTTGTTGTCACGTGGGTACATGGAGCAAGCAGCACAAACAGTTATTTTACATCTAAAAATACCTTCCAAGTGTTTTCTTAACTTCACTTCCTCCAACATATGTTTGCTGGCTGGAGGTCATTAAGCGTCAGAAAAGACTTTGTCGTGGTGTTCCCTTACTAGCCAAACTTTCACAACACAGAACTGCTTTAACGCTATTAAACAGTGAGAAAATCCACCTGGTGGCGCAACCAGGTACTACAGCTAATCTACAATACTGGATGTGTTTATTATCTAGGAAAACAGTATCAGGTGTTGGGAGAATATTAAATGATGGGATTGGATCGCAAGCAAAAACAAAATTAACAGGGACATCCCTAATAGTATAATGCACCTGCAAAAGTCACCCCGAGTGTACAAGGCCCCTCTGGTTGGGGATCACTTACTAATCTGCATCTTTCTGAACAAATTAACACATGTGGGCTTCACTTGCATTACATAAGGACCCACAACCCTCAGCTAATTTCTCACTGCACCTCACCCACAGGCAATCTACAAAATGGTGGGCACTGTGATCATGATGAAGATGAACGAGGACGGCCTGACACCAGAGCAGAGGGTGGACAAGATCTTCAGCAAAATGGATAAGAACAACGACGACCAGATCTCGTTGGAGGAGTTCAAAGAGGCAGCGAAGAGCGACCCGTCCATCGTGCTGCTGTTGCAGTGCGACATGCAGAAGTGAACCTGCTCGCTCCCCGTCCCCCGTCTGTATCCACACACTCTGGACAGCAGCACACGTTTTAATGTCTCATTAGGTTCTCTGCCATTTCCACAGGAAAAAAAACAAACAATATGCTTGGACTATTTTTCAATGGACTCGCTTCTTGTGGTTGTATGCATGAGAATGTCAAATGCTGAATAATTTTGAATATAGCTATAAGATATCATGCATTTCTATTTCAAGACATGCCAACGTGATTTGTGCACAGTAACCCTATACATTCTCATCCAACCCTAGCTTGTATATCAGTGGAGCACTGCATTAAATTATGTTTCTGCAGTATTTAGGATCCCCGGTGTTCACTGCTGCAACTACTGTACGCTTTACATAATAGTAACAAAACAATAATTCCTATGATAATTGTAACTGTCTCTACTATCCAGACTTGTTGAGCTCTTGGAGAATAGAGAGGCTCCTGTCTGTTCCAGATGTTTTCTCACGATGGAACCAAGAAGAGTAGGTTCTTTGCATGCATATATTACGTGTCAAAAAAAAAATATAATCTCTTACCTTTTGCATCTTTAGGTGGTTATAAAAGAGAAACCCTCATACTAAATTCATTTAGTATTGTTGCATGGGATGTACAGTATGTGACTCATTAGCTCATTAGTTCACCTCCAGTAACGTGGGAGCATGCTTCCCTCCATTTGATTCTGTGTGTGACACTTTTTCGAAAGGAAATATTCGGGCGGCGGTTGCGGGTTAATCTCCGAGGAAGAGCTTTCACATAAACATTGTATTGCGTTTCGCTTCAGTGACTTCTGGGATGAGCAGAAATAGATTTACTAGACATCCTTCCCTTACGATTACAACCGTACTGCTGCCGCTCAATCCAGAGGAAAATTACAGCCGTCATTAGGTGCAGTACTCATGCATCATCCCCCACAACGATCCAAAATTGGCTTCTTTTTCAGGCTGCTTATTTGATTTTGACTTTAAGAAAAAAAAAAAACTTTAAAAAAAAAAACAACAACTTAGTTTACTGAGTACATATCAACAAGTTTACAGAAATGAAGCACTGCAAAATGAGTACAGTCTTGGCTTTTGACCTCGTTGCTGCTCCACTTCCAATGCAGCAAAAAGAGGAACACTAAAAAGCCTCACATATGTTTACTGGACACACTGCATTCCTTCGTATGAAACTTTTTTGTAAGGAGAAACTTTTTAATCGAAAGGTCTCATCTTCTTATCTATTCCGTTCGCAGCGATCATTAAAGATGCAGGACCCGAGAGAGAGAGAGAGGAAGGGGGGTGTGCTTGGTAAAGCTTTTGAAAGAGCGTTTCAGTGTGAGGCTCGATGATGATGATGAGGCTGATTTGCAGAGAAATTCTCTTTCGACGGTTTTTTGCTTCCCCATTTCTAGGCTATGCAAGCACGGACCGAGTGTCTGCTTGTAGTCCACTAACAGTAGTGGAAGTTGCAGAAGCTTTTCATTGTTCCGTCTGTAACACTGAACGTCGCATTAACGTCGTGTCTGTTATTATTTCTGATTTTCAGTCGAGTCGCCATGTCAAGATTCTTTGTCGAGTAAATGTTTATATCAAATATGAAAAATCATAATACAAGTGACTGTATTCTTTTATACATGTGGCATGTGTTGCACCCAAAATTAATTCTGTAGTGACTAAAACGAATAAACCATCAACAGGCTTTTTCAAAAGACACAGACTAGCGGGTGGAGTTTATGAAACGATGGCCGAGTTTCAGCTGTGCTGCGTGTTGCTGTGTCTGGATGGATAAATGGATGGAAATGTGTGTATGAAACTTCCTCATGCTTGGATTTCTACTGAAGTTTTATGGCAACAATGGTTTCAGTTTTTCACAGAAATCTCACTGCATGAGAATCAATGAGCATTGTTAACAAAAGAGGACACTAATGTCGATGTTTAAGCCACAGAGCCCAAATATTTGATGTTTAATTGGCAATAAAAAGGAAATGTAATAAGAAAACTGCCCACTGTGACAATATTAACACTGACAGGCTGAGTTTACAGATGGAAAGTTTGCTGATAAATACTACAATGTCATTGGAAATATCCTCCATTATACGAAACACATCACAAGTAAAAACTCATTAATGATCAAACTGCAACCTTAAAGTTAACAAAGAAAAAAGATCAGACCTTCAGTTATCCACACACATCTTCATCATCACCGCTCAATATTTCATTAAAATACATGAATGTTAACATTAAACACCAGACATCCTGCCGACTGAGAACAAATAGGAAAATATAACACATTAAAGTTGTGCACGACTTCTGACCCACAATCTCCTGCATCTTTTTCCTTCACTAAAGAGTAGCAGAGACCTCACAGTTTACTACATGACCCAGCGTTTTCAGAGGAGAAATCAGACTTTCGTAACAACAAAAATCAGATCGAATTTCACGATGCGATTATCGTGGTCAAAAGAAACTACAATTAATGACATAATTGCAGTATCTGTTGAAATAATAATAATAATAATAAATACTACCAGTCAGAATCATCTTTAACTTTTCTGAATGTGGGTTTTTCCTATTTTTCTCAGAAATAAATTAGACTTAAAATACAAGCACAAGGGCAGGGAACACGAAACTACTGCGATATTACACAAACGTATTGCGCGGGAACACAAAACTGTAGCAAGCGAATACAAAAGTCACACATAAGTTATTGTGAGAAAATGCAAAAGTACTGTCATGTAACAAGTGTGTTGTTGTAAAAGATAGGCAGCAAAAAGTATTGCGACGTAAAGCAAAACTATTGCGAGAAAACGCAAAATTGTAGGGAATGCAAAACTCCTGCAAAAATGTAGCACGTAAGCTATTGCGAGGGAACGCACAAATACTGTGAAGTCATGCAAAAAGTACTGCATGAAAATGCATAAGTATTGCGATGTCACGTAGAACTAATGCAACATACAGCCAAAAAAAAAATGTGACGTAAAGCAAAAGTAATGCTAGGTAATGCAAAAAAAATGTGCAAAGTTAAAGTTGTTGTGAGGGAACACAAAAGTAATTGCAAAGAAACACACAAGTATTGCAAGGTGGCGCAAAAGCATTGCAAAATAAAGCAAAATTGATCTTAAGGTAAAAGTATTGCGTAGTAATGCAAAGCAAAACAAGTCTCGCTGCATCAGTCGTGGGGCTTCATAGAAAAGTTCTTAACCACATCTGTGCTCGACATTCTTCCTCTGTTGGAGTGTAAACCAGTTAGTTACTGGATTAGTTACGATATTATCATATGTGCATTATTAATTCTTTATGCATCACAGTCATCGTCATGACATGCATATTTCAACACTCTGAGAAAATAAATACGACCCAACGTTTGTGTCGGAGCTACTTAATAGTAACACAACTCTAATGTAGATTTCATGAAAGTGAATCAATGTCTTCAAACATACACAAGTGAAACGACATTTTAAAACCACACAAAGCGCCCAAACCCATGAAATAATACTGATATATACATAAACTGCATATGAACAGTCACTATGTATGTTACGTTTTCTCAGTTTAGTTAGTGGAGCTCAGTTTAAACATCCTCATGTCGTGTTTTGTCTTTGCTCTCTTTCTGGATCCTGAAGCTGGTGGATTTTAACGAGGCTTGATTTGGGGAGATGGCTGAAAGACAAACATTTGAGCAGTTATTAGACATTACTGACACATTGTCGGCCTTTAATTAGTCTAAAAAAATGCAATGATTGATAACAGGAAGGTTCACGGTAAAAAGAGTGAAGCAGAAAACTTGACCGGAGCAACAACATAAATCAAGTCTTTGTCACTGTTTTGCAAAGAGAAACAAACTAAAGAATTATTTATCATTTAGCACTATGATGCTAATGCAGTCACCACAAATACTAATAACATATTATTGCATTGATTATTTAAAATGATAGAAATACACTTTTGACAAACAAATGTATTCAAAAATACTAATGAACAATAATAATTTGTTTAGTTCTTATTATTTAAATGCAAAAGTTTAGCTGTAGTATAATCTAAAAATATAATAAACTACCTATAGTAATAATCTTAGACTTGTTCTGGTTGCACACATCAGCCTCCTCATAGGAAACAAAGGTAGAGAAGTTAAAGTTAGGTCAAATGTAGACATTAAATTAATGAGAAAAGTCCAGCAAACATTAAACAATGCTTCACCTGGTGGTCAAAGGAGTGATGAAGATAAACTGTCGAAGGTGCTGCCGCTCAGACAGCTCCAGGAGGAGGTCCAGACAGATTCTGCGATTGTGCATATCCTGTGGAGAAAAGCGATTAATCAAAGTGAGTGAGAGCCAAACTTTGATGCTTTTTTAAAAATTTCTCGGTTTTCTACATATTATGCGATGCTAATCTTGTCTGTGTGCTCACCATGTAGACGTCGAACTCGTCGAGGCACCTGAAGGGCGACTCTGTGATCTCCCACAGCGAAAGCATGAAGCAAACGGTGGAGAAGGAGCGTTCGCCGCCGGACAGCGTCCTCACGTCACTCACAGGGTCTTCCTCCCTGCCTGGAGGCTTCACCTTTGTTTGTGCCACAACAGGTTTGTGTGTTAGTTGTATTGGTGGGTTTGAGGGTTTTCAGACGTAAGAGGGAGCAATGATGATGCAGGCTTTAATCCAAAACTATGCAACTACAAACTCATACGGGTTTAACAGTGATGTGATCATCACTGGTATTAGCTGGTAAAGCCTTTCAAGTCAAATACATAGACTGTATAAAAGATGGACGTAGCTACCGTGACGTCACCCGTTGGTTTCTGCACTGAGAAAATGAAGCCAGGGTTTTGCTACTTCCTGGTTGACATCTTGGATTTTTGGAGCCAGTGACGCAAAAATCGTCGGAGGGGGGCGGAGCCATAGGAGCAGTGATTGGTCAGACGGATTGAGAGGCGGGCCCTCTCTGCCCGCCCACATTTACCGCCTTCTGCTCGCTTCGTCTGTATGGTCACTGCCGACTGTCAATCAAACCAGCCACGCCCCTTGCCCCGCAAAATGTTGATGATTTTTTAAAAATTCAGTATTGATTTATTTTCAGATTGGCCACCTGATCTCTGGACTTGACTATGAAAACTAATCAGAAAAAAATCCTGAGCTGTAGGAATGCAGTATTTCATGATCTGTGATCACTTCTTTTCCAATTCAAGTCTATGGGAACCAGGGCTTTTTGGAGCCAGCAGCTAGTGGACGTAGTGATGTTGCAGGTTTTTGACACTTCCGGGTTGGCTTCATTTTTCAGGGAAGTTACGTCCATCTCTTATACAGTCTATGGTCAAATACTGTCACTGTCTCAAAATAAAGGCCTGTCAGGCTAAAAGTTTGCAGTTTTGCATGAGTATTTTACATTTTAAAATAAATATGCTGTGCTTTACATGTAAGCAACAGTGGTTTTTGAATTTTGCCAAAGAAAACAAACAAGTATTATAAGTAATGCAAAAAGCATTGAAACATAATGCAACTGCTAATACGAGTTATTAGAGCACCATCATGATATCGAGAAGGTATAATAATAATAACATATTCAGCCCACTATTGGAGAGACATTATGCTCTCTGCAATTAGGTGCAAAACTAAATGCATTATCTTTTTTTTTATTATTATTTTGACGTCTGCAATTGATCTAAATAAGTTGGAAAATATCTACAAAAATGTCATATTGTGCATCTCTTATGGTCAGAATCTTAAACGTTTGGCCACCAGGATGCTCTGTTTTCAGTTTGAGGCTTTTGTTATTTAACGTATTCATCTTTCTTGAATATGAAACGGTGCTTAGATCAGCATTACCTATCAGTGTTTTAATAATTTCACAAAGAACAGTTTGTTCTTATTTAATAAGATGTCATTTGGTGCAACTGTGTGTTGTAATTTAATATTTCCAACACAAAACACAACCATGTAGCACACAACATGCTCTTAAACAAACACATAAACACACGTACCGAGATGGCGAGCGTCTCGTTGTTGTGATCAAAAATCATCGAGCCGCAGCAGTTCATCTTTATCAAGAAGTTGTTGAAGTATAATTTACACCTGACAGAGAGGGACCTTGAGGAAGAAGAGCCAAGTATCAGACAGACCAGGACTCGCAGTTACACACTAGACTTAATGTATTTCAAGCTTAAGAGACGGTCATTTACCTACGCATTATTTTGTATCTGTTCTGCCTGTCTGACACGATGTTATCGAGCTGATCGATGAACCTCCGCAGGTCTCTCACTTGGTTGGTTTTCTCTCTGTACAGAGCCAGGGCCTCGGCGTACTCTCTAATGGGGTCAGAGGGAAGGAATTGGCAGAGACTAAATGTTTCTGACTTAGTGTGCACGTGTAAAATGAGGGCAGAGGATGATTGAGCGATTTGTAAAGACAGACGTTGGAGCAGGAGTGCATTAGGTGTACCTAATAAAGTGGCCACAGAGGGCATTTCTTTTTGTATGTAGAATGTTTTGAGGTAATTTTGAGTCTCAAAATCCAAATATAATAATGATTATTATTAATAAAGCATAAATGAGTGGCTATATATACACCAAGCAGCCACAATGATAAAACCAGAGACAGGTGAAGGGAGTTAGAGTGATTATCCTGTTAGAATGACTCCTGTCAAGAGGTGGAATTTATCAGGTAGCAAGTGAGCAGTCACTTCTTGAAGCTGATGTGTTGGAAGCAGGAAAAATGGGCAGCATGAAGCTCTGAGAGGATTTGACAAGGGCCAAGTTGTGACAGCCACAGGCTCACTGATATGTGTATGTGGAATGAAGGCTGAAGCTTCTGCAGCACAAACTGCTGAAAACCTTGATGCTGCCTGTGACATAAAGGCGACACAACAGTGTTGTGTACAGGCTGCCATTATCTCGTAACAATGCAATGTTCTGCTGGGAAACCTTGAGTCTTGCCGTACGCGTGGATGTTACTTTGACTCATAACATCGACTATAAGCGTTGTCGCAGGCGAAGCACATCCCCCAGTGGCACTTCGTAGTGCCAGCGGTCTCACAATTTGTGCGGCCATCACCCCAAAAACGACTCAGAAGCACCTCGAGAAACACGACAAAGAGCTTACAGTGTTGACCCAGATCCAACTCTGGTCTGGTATCTGTGGGATGCATCTAAACAAAAATGATCCACGGAGGTTCCACGCTACGACGCAAACATCTTGTTGTTGCTGCGCTATAAACAGCAAAAACCGTCTCGCATACATTTCTGTGATGACTTGTAGGTGTGCATATGCGATTTCTCTACGGACGTCAAAGTGAAGCAGAGAGGAAAGCTTTTTGTTTCAGTCAAAAACTACCTTCGTGTTGAGGATAATCACTGGTTAAGAGGGGTTGGTCTGCAGCTACCACTAAGGGAAGAAACAGCAATTCTCACAGTGTAAGAACCATAGTTTCTAAAAATGGACAGGGCGCATCAGTTCGCGAGCATGCTTGATGTTTTCTTCAACATTCACATGGTTGTGTACCTGGAATTAGTCCTCCAGGGTCAAACTGTCAAGGCAGAGTTCTACTGTAACACCCTGCGGCGTTTAAAGAAGAACATTCAGCACATTGTACCTGAACTGAAGGGTCATGGCAAGTAGGTGCACCAATGATATTAACATAGATGGGAGGGGTTTTTTTGGCCACGACGTCGCAATTAGCCCTTTTTACCCACCAAACTCTTCAGATTTGGCCTTCTGTGACCCACCAAAATTAAATTCAAGCTCAAGGGTTACCGTTTGGACACAGTTTAGGACATATAGTTGTCATTTTAGATAGTGCTTGGCATGTTTACATAACTCTAAGAAGTGTTGCAGGAGCACTGGGAGCTGTGTATCACTGTGCAAGGAGGATATCTGTAGGTATGTGGGTAGAATAAATTGAAACACAAGTACAGTACAGTTATAGTCCACCACTAATATATATTTTAGGTATGCAGCAACATGTTCGATGCCTTTGGCCGTTGAATTTTGCTCAGTTTCAGCCTTTAAAACCAAAGTTCTACCTCTGCAGCAGCTCCGTCTCTGAGAAGTCTTCTGCACTGACTACAAATGAAATCTGAAGCACCACAGAGGTCCCAGATGTTTTCCAAAGCCTGTGATTTCTTACCTGACCACCTGCTCCTGCTCGCCGTGGCTGCTCTCGTACACCCTGATCTTCCTCTTCAGTCGACTGATTTCGGTGTCGATGCTCTTGGTGCTGCCGCTCACCTGCTGCCGCTCAGGACTGATCTCTGTAGCTTTGGCCACATATTCCTGTCGTCATGTCATGAGATGTGTGCTGACACGTTTGTTTGCTAGAAAACTACAGTATTCTAAAGGCAGTAATAGCTGCAGTGGACAACTGAGTTTAATCTGAAATATACTGTAAGGAAAGTATCCAAAATACACATGAGGTCAATTTAATGCAATCTGGAGACAAAAAGCTGAAAATGAGTCTTTGTTACCTGCAACTCTGCTTCTCTTTGGGTCAGGTCATTCTTCAGGGCTTGGATGTTGCCTTCGTGAGCCTTCAGCCTGTTTTCTAAGAATTTGAGGTTTCGTTCATGTTTTGCACACTCTGCCTCCAGTGTCAGCTGTTCATCCTTTAAGGTCAAGAGACAGTAAACTTCACTATCGACAGTTCTGGAGGTTTAAAACTTACAACAAAGAATGCACGGATGCAAAACCTTCAAAAGCGTAGAGGACAGAAGCAGCTTCAAAACCACAGAAACAAGGCGGCAACCTTTTGGTTTCTGAAACTATTTTCAGCCTCTGAAAATGATACCAAAGTGCGTTGCTGTACCTTCAACGGCTCCATTTCCTCTGAAAGCTGATCAATCCGATCTCTAACAGAAGAGTACTGGGAGTCTGCGTCTTCTGCCTTTTTCCGATGCTCGTCGAGTTCAGCTTTTGCTTCTTGAACGGTTTGCTTTTCTGCCTCGATTTTCTGTTGGTTCTCTTGAGCAACTTCTTCCTGCACGGTTTGAACATTAAAGAAAAAATAAGCCCGTCTAATTCATTGTGGGGTTTATGTGTTGTGGCAGAGATGGAAATAAAAAGTGAAGGATCACCAAGGAGCTGATGTCATCGATGTGCTCCTCACAGGCGGTTTCCAGCTCGGTTATTGTCGCTTTGACTTGATTCACAGAGGCCTGCGACGAAAATGTTAAAAATGTAATTTAAATGTTTAGATTAAGCATGAACCAGTTTCCCCACAAAGAGCACAATGGGAAAAGAGAGACAGGAGGGAGAAACACAACCAGATTCTTGTGAAAATGCAACGTGGCGCCGCTCACTGACCAGAGTCCTCTTCAGGGTCACGATGGTGCCGCTCAGGCTGCTCTCCATCGCTGCGATGTCTTCGGTCACGGAGCTCACGTGGAGTTGGAACCTGGACAGCTGAGCCTGGTGATTCTCCAGGTCCGACTCCAACATGCTGTGACAGGCAGCATCGATGTCACGTCAGATCAAAACCACACGTAGTCGGAAATGTACGGCATCTCCTTTACAAAAAACTGCTGAGGTTTCCGTAAAGCAGAGTCACATTTTGTGCTCTTTTGAAAGCTGAAGCACAAGACGTACTGTTTCCATCTGACATAAGGGTGCCGGAGGACACTTTGGGTTTGAGCATTTCACTCAGTGTAAGTGTCAAAGAACATCAAGCCTTGGAGCAGGAAAACACGGAAAGATACTGACCCATGAAATTGAATTAGAAGAACTTAATTGAAATTTTGAACGCTGAATATGGAACTGAATTCACTTTCAACAGAATAAAATCTTTTTTTTCTGTAATTCAAATTGAATTGTTTACAAGTTGAGCGATTCAAATCCAAAGTCAATGACTCTAGAAGCAAATATTTTGGCCCACGTCTGTCAAATAAACCTCAAATCATTATCTAATTCACAATGGGGGGAAAAAAAAGTGTTTAATAATGTCCCTCGGCTAGTCGTGAGTTCTTGTGGAAATAATTTCAAAGAAGATTTTAAAATGTTTATTCCTTTATTTTAAAAAAAAGAAAGAAAGAAAAACACTCATGGAGCTCATCCTTCACCAGGGCAAATCTGGTATTATGCAATTTTAAAGAAAGTGCTTCATCTGCATCTCTCAACCAAGATTTATGAAATTCAGACGGGAAGTTGTTGTGTAATTTTACTGGCAGACAAACAAACTGTGTTTAAGTAAGGCGTTGAGCCACCACGTGCCAACAGAACAGCTTTAATTCTCCGAGGACACGCCGCCATCCTTCCAAAAGATAAAGGAATTGTTGGGCTGCCTTAAATGAACTGCTTTAACTTGGAACATGCAATTGAATTGCGTTTATCAAAATTCAAGTTAGATGTACTTAATTCGTTTGATTCCACTTAAATAAACTGTTTGCACTACTTCAGCTCAATTTTAAGGAGAGCCAGTCAGCAGGAAGCTTCCTCATGTATTTGCTTTGCACAAACTTAAAGTGTAAAACACAATTTTGTCACCAAACTCAGCTTTCTTTCCCTTTCTTTACTCTGTAATCCTGCTCGAAGAAAACTGTGCTTCAGTCTCAGCAGAGCCGTAAACCTAATTTTCGCTCT